GTCACAGTAATTCCAGAGGATGGGAGTGCAGGAGTGCAGGTCTGCCTGTGCTGCTCCACGAGCTGGGACAGCTGAGGTGCTGCTTGTCTTCAGAGGAGACCAAAGGTGCCACAGGGCCCTTTCCAGGAGTGCTTGCTCTGCTCTTCCATGGTACCAGCACACCAGGGACATGGAATGGTGGAGCCATCAATGTTAAAAGTTAGTTTTATAAGCAGTTGCTGTGGTAATTAGCAAATCTTCGTAAATCATTTGAGAAGGTCCCCCTTGCCCCTGGGCTGTGCTGGTGCTGCCCTGAACACGGAGCCTTTCTGCTGATGATGTTCTCAGAGGTTCCATGGAAGTTGTGCTGGTGAGTTCAGCATTCACAGGTTCCTGCACACTTGGGTTTCTTGCTGTTTCCTGCTGTTTCCTGCTACAGGTAACACTGGAAAATCCCTCCCTTTTTAGGTTGACTTCGTTGGAGATTTCCCCTTCCAGCAGAAAGTCGAGTTCCTGGTTCCACACCGTGTGTTTGCCCCTCTCTGCCCTGGCATGGACCTGGTATCTGTGGGATAACTGAGGGATTTGAGAGGTCCATGCTGTGCTCAGGACTCCCCTTCATCTTAATGAGCGCTCAAAAAATATCAAAAGAAATCATAATGGTGGGACTTTTGCATTCAGGGAAAGGACATGTCTTATCAAACCCTCTCTTCATTAGCAGTGCCTCAGAACTGGAGAAGAAACAGCTGTTTTTTCTGAGGAAGGCATCTTTTCAACTGGCTGCCAGTGTTGATGGTTTCTTAAAGATTTCCCCTCTGCTATTGTTAGAGTTGTTGCGTGTTCTTGTGCATCTTCTGGCAGATTAAAATGAGGCATCATTTCTGGTGTGCCATTGTGGCCTTTCTGCCCTTCCATGGGCAGTGTTTGACCTGGCTCAAGGTAAAGTTTGTTTCAGTTCATGTTCCCTGGTACGACTCAGCCAGAGGGGGGGTTCTTTTTAATCATTAAAAACCCCGGCAGTCGATTGTAGGCAATGCTAATAATTGTTTTGGTTTTAAATGCCTTTGCATTAAGTGTTCAATGAGTAGGAAGCTCCCGGAAATCCACTTTTGTGTCTCATTTCCTTGTGTTGGCAGCTCAGTATCTCTGAAGGGGGTTGTGTGGGGTCTGGCTGGGCTGCAGTGACCCTGTTGAACACGTGTGTGTGTGTGTGTTCACATGGCCATGACAGTGCAGCTGTCCCCCCTTTGGGTGCAGCCCTTTCAGGAGGACAGAGCAGTGACCTGCCCTGTGCTGCTGTGGCAGAGAATTCTTTCCTTTCCTATGCTAAAGTGGATGAGTTTGTTGAACAATTGAGTGCAGGGCATTTTCCTCTGGGCAGCAGCTGATCCTGGGCGATGGCACCTTCTGGTCAGTGTGACTTAGGGAGTGCAGATGGGCTCGTGGGCCTTCCCTGTCCCTCTGCCCTCCCCAGCCCCTTCCAAGGCTCCGCTCCTCCCTGCAGGTCTGCCCTGGGAAAGGTGAGCCCCAGACCTGCAAACAGCCAGCCCACAGCCATGGCTGGGTTGGGCTTCCTGCTAATTCCTTCTTTTCCTCCCTCTGCTGTTGTCTCAGCCGGGCTGACAGTTGTTGGTTTTTCTGTTCCAGCCCCACATTTAGGACCCTTTGTGTTTGCAGGGCAGCCCAGCACTGCTGTCTGAGCGCTCTGCCAGCCCCTGATTGCTGGGACACATGTAACCAATGGTGTTCTGTGCTTTCCAGGGGGGCACTGAAAAGGTGATGACATGTGAGGCACTGAATGAGGCTCTGTGCAGCCCGGGCAGGAGAGTTTGTGCAGACCCGGGGCAGCACAGGGAGCCTTCCTGTGCCCAGCCCTGCTTCCATCAGCCAGGGCTGGGGCACCTGGGCTGGCTCACCTGGGCTGCTCTAGCCTGGGCTGCTTTAGCCTGGGCTGGCTTAGCCTGGGCTGGCTCACCTAGGATAGCTCAGCCAGGACTGTCTCCCCAGAACTGTCTCCCCAGGACTGTCCCCAGCTGTGTCACACCCCAGGTTCCAAGCCCAGCCCAGCCCAGTGCAGAGCCCATCCCTCAGCCTGGAGAAGCCCCATTTGCCGAGGCTTTGATTGGATTCCCAGGGCTTGTGGCCCTTCTGTTGCCGTCCATGTGTACACGGGTGAGGAAACTGGGAACGGGGGTGAAGCTAAAAAGGAATGAATTCAGATTGCCCTTTTATTTTTGTTTACTCTTCCACCCCGGTGTGATTTATGCTCATTGGAGTCTTTGAACCTCAGGCCCTTGAGTGGAGCCCAGTTTGGGGCTGGTTTGGTGCTGCTGGGGGGGGCTGGGGGGGCATCCCCTGCTCAGAGCTCTGGGCAACTTCACTGCAGAGCTTCCCTTCCTTTGCTTAACCTCTGACCTGTGAAAACAAGAGTTAATCAAAACTTCTGAGGTAGCTAAGAGGAAGGGGAAGTGTTTGGTTACAAATTAAATATGAGCAAGTCATAAGCCATAAATCTTCAGTAGTGCTACCAGTTGTGCTACTTAAGTTCATGCGGCACAGAAAGTTTTGGGTTATAAACTCAACTTCTGTTTCTTTGGAGGGGTGTTTAAAGGCTGCCTTGAGGATTTGCTTTTTGTAAGAAAAATTCACATATTTTTTTTTTCCTTTTGCAGAGATCTAGAAACAAATTGAGATAATTATGTTGCTTGGGGGTTTTTTTTCGTTTTTTTTCAACTTTAACTGGTCACAGTTTGGTCTAATAAAAGCAGAACTGTTTCACTATTGAGTAGTCAACACATGGAATAAGTGATGAAGTAAAAGTATTGAAGGTGGCAGGATAAATTAGCTTTCTAATGCATCCAAAACTTCTGGGCTGAGAGAGATCCTGAATCGTGCTGTGGCAATGGGGGAGGTGAAAACTGAAGTGAGATTTCTACAGAATTCCCACAATTCTGTGGTGGGTTTGGTTTATCTTGTCTTGCCCCTCTCTTGGGCAAAGCCTCACAGATCCCTGTGTGTTGTGGAGTGCTGAGTTCTGCTTCAAACACCAGCTCATTTCCTCAGCTCCCAGACTGTGACACTTCTCAAAACGGGACGTTATTCTCAAAATAGAAACAGAAGCAGTTAAAGCTGAGCTGCTAAACCATCACCTGGAAAACAAGGAAGAGTTAATGTTACAAAAAGGACAATATGAGGTTCATCAGAGGATGGTGAGGGGAAAAGGGAAGGCCAAGGGGTGTGACAGCAGAGCACCCAGGCCCTGGCAGGGCAGAGCAGTGTGAGCAGCAGCCCAGCCCCTGACCCTGCTCCGGGGGCTCAGCCTTGTCCCTGTGCTGCCAGGACCTGCTCCATGGTCACCCTCAGAGCCTGGGGAACCTGCTTTGCCTCTTTGCTTTGATGCACATACATCATAAACACAGGAGGAGTTTTAAAGGTTCTGGTTTCAGCTCTGTCAGTGCAGCTCTGCAGCTTCCCCACTCGCAGGCACTGCTGGCAGCAACTTGTAAATGTAGTTTTCCAGAAGGTCCCCGAGCGATTAAGAAGAACTTTAATTGTGCCTCCCTGGAAGCAGCTGTGGTTTCCCACTGCCAGGGAGCTTTCTGCCTCCTTGGTTTCCTGTCTTCTCAAACTCTTTTGATAGATGCCTTGCACGGATTTGTTTACCAGGTTCTTAATCTCTACTTAGCAGATATGTTTGGAGAGGATTTCTTGTTACCCTTGTAATGGCTTTTAACTCTGCTGAAGTTTATTTAACTAAACAGAAAGAAAGAAACTTATCTTCTACCTAATCCTTCTGGATTGTTTACAATATAATGCCAAACTTAAATGCTGTTTAAAGTGGTAATTGTCTGTCTTTCTGCTCCATTCCAATACACACTTTGTAAAGATGTTTGGAGCGTATTAATTTAAACGATAATACTGTCATATAACATGAAAAGTTAAGTTGCTTATCAGTATATTTTGATAAGCTACTTACATTTTACAGTAGCATTTGCAGGCTTCAAACAAAGGCTAATGATGGAGTGCCAGTCCCTGTGTCTGTCTCATACACAGCTTCTCACCTCATTTATCACCCAGAGCTGCCCAGGCAGAGCACGGGGCACTCCATTCCTTACAGCTGTCAGGATGGAGTCATATTTTATAAAAACTTTAGATCCTGTCTCACTATATCACAGTAGAACCCATTTGCTTCAGAAAGCAGCTGTGGTTTAAGTAGCATCAGGCAGTGCCTCACACTGGCTTTGCATTCACTGCAGCCCAGGGAAATCCCTCACAGGTCTGGGAAAAGGGGTTGGAATAAAGAGCCGTGCCATGAAAACAGGGCACAGAACCCTCCCAAAGCTGCAGTGGAAAGGAACATCTTCTCTGTCTTACTTTGTGCAGTGGAGATGTAATTCAAATGAAAAGGCTGTGATTTTTCTGCATGTTTCTCTTTGAATCTTGTTTCTTCTTTTCTTTTGGAAGTTGTGTGCAAATGTGAAGTTTCTATTTGACCAAAGTAAGGGCCAGACTAAACACACTGATCGGATGAGATCTGACAACAACTGAAAACTGAGATACTGGTTATACAGTTTAAAAAATCCACTTGTGTGAGACTCAAACCCAAAATAACTGCCTGGCTTGGCTTTCCAAGGACCCTCAGCAGCTGTACAGGAGAAGAGTTATTTGACATTAAATATGTTCCAGCACACATGGACATCAGTGCACAGAGACCTTTGGGTTAAACCTCGTGTGGGACTGTGTGTGTTGGTGAGGGTGGGCAGCCCTGGTGCTGTGGGGCTGGGTGGTGCCCAGCACTGGGGAAGGGGGAACTCCAAAGCTCAGCCCTCCAAGGAGAGGGATCCCTGAGCCTCCTGGCAGAACTCTCCTCCCAGTGCAAGTCTGCTGTGGCTTTCCTGACAGATAATTATGCAGCATCACGTTAGGATGCATCTGTAGCATAAAGGCTGGTGATCCTGGATTTATTAACTGAGATTTAGCAAGTTAAATGTATGCTTTTTCTTTTTTTTCTTTTTTTCCAGTTACCTCCCGTGGTTTGAAGTCTTTTATAAGCTGCTCAATGTCTTGGCAGATTATTCAGCAAAAGGACAGGTATTATTCTGAAATACTGACCCTCCTTTTCCCTGCCCAATATCAAATGGGGGCGAGAGGATGAAACGAGCTGGTTGAAGAGGTGCTTCTGTGAGAGCTGACCATGTGAATTATTAATCCCTGTGATGCAGTGACATAGAAGGTCATATTCAGCTTGGGAAGTGCCTCTGAAAAATAAATATGCGTTTAAATCATTTTTGGGAGAAGATGAAGCCCAAGGGTGTGGCTGTGGCTCCCCCACAATCCCTGGGTTCCTGCAGGGGCCCGTGCTGGGCTGACCCTGCCCTGTGCTCAGCACGTCCTGCAATCCCACCTTCTGACAGGGGCTGATCCAAGGGTATTGTCAGGTGCAGGAAGTGTGGAACTAACCCTACTAATGCCAGCTTTACCCTCCTGGCATCATCTGGCCCTTCTGCCCTGGAGTTAACCTGGTTGCACCAATGCCTACTTAGTATTCCTTTTTTTCTTCCTCCTTATTTCAGGATAGTCAAAGGAGTGAGCTGCTAGAAACATTTCATAAACTCACCATCCCTGAGCCAGGAACCTCTGTTCATCTTGGAGTGGTAAGTGAAGGGGGGAGATGGAAACTAAGGTGCTTAATATTCATTCCATGTCATAACAGAGGAATGTCAACAGCAATTCTCTGTCCTGGAGCTTGTACACAGATGTTGTTTCCCTGTGAGGACACAGAGCTGTGAAATTCCCCTTTTCACATTTGGGGCCCTCTGTTTGCCTCTCCCTAACCTCAGATGTCTCTGAACTGCTGTTCTTTGGTTGGAGGAGGGTTGTGTGTGTTCCCCATGGAGATCTCTCCCATCCCCTGTGCCCTGGGGGAGGTCACGGAGCAGCACCAGGACATTTATTGCCAACACTCAGCTCTGCTCCTGGGTCCTGCAAGGGGACAGGGCTGGGGGGGAAACAGTCACATGCCTGTCACAGCAGCCTTTGCAGTATCCACTGTTTGTCACATTTACTGGTTCCTTCTCCTCTTCCCCCCTCCCTGAAAAAAACTCGTATGAAAAAGAATTTATTTCATTTTTATATCTTGTGAGAAAATTAAGCAAAGCACACCAACAGAAGAGATTTGGGATTTTGTTGATGGGATTGCACTTTGCATTTAGTCTTTTGGGGTTTTTGTCTTCAGACTCCCTTTTGCAGCACCCCCCTGTGTCCCAGGCACAGTGACATCCTGCAGAGCCTGTTGCTGCCCCTGCCTGTGGGGAGTTCACAGGGACACTCCCCCTCTCCCATCTCCTCTGCTCCTGCTCCCACAGGACTGTCTGGCAGCAGGAGCTGCCCCTGCTCCCCTGGCCTGGACAGGAGCAGTGGTGTGGCCCTGCTGGTCCCCAGCTGGCCCTGGACTGGCCCTGTCCCCTCAGGGCTCCCTCCGTGTGAGCAGCATTTCTGTTCAGAGCATGAGTGACAAGGAACCATCTCCCAAGGCCAGGATCAGTTGGGATATTCCGTTTTTTCATACCAGTGGTTCCAAGGAATGCTGCTGGTCTCCCCTTGTCTCAGACATTTCACGGGCGGTGAAGCAAGAAAGGATATAAAAAGGCAGCCCAGGGACTGTGAGCTGTGGTGTGTTCCTGCATTTGATTTTGGCTGTTTCTGAGCCTATTTCGGGGTCAGGGTGAGGTTCCTCCACGTGACACAGCTCTGTGTGCTGTTCCTGCACTGCATCTTTGCAACCAGACCAAACCAGGGACACATCAGAAGCAGAAATGGTGTTTGTAGTGTCTGTATTCAGTGTGGCTGTTGGACCCTCTTGCTGTTTCAGGTTACAGACTGATCACGAGGCACTGAATTGCAATAATCAATATTTGCTCTTTTTGTAGCACTCTTACTTTACTGTGCCTGACACCAGAGAGCTTCCCAGTATACCTGAAAATGTGAGTATTTGAGAGGACCCTGCACTTTACTGCTTCTATTTAATGTCACAGCAACATAGATAACACGTGTTAGTTTGGTAATCATGGATTATATCCTGTGGAATCCTGAGCTGTAGGAGCTGACAATCTGCACGTGTGATTAAAAGCTGAATTGCATGAAGGACAAAGTACAAATGGCCACGTGGAAATGGGCAGAACCAGCAGATCTGCTAATCCTGCAGTGGGACCCCTGGGGAAGGATGACCAGGGAAAACAACCTGTTTGGCTTCTGAAAATGTCACACACGTCTGGTCTCCTCAGAGCCACTTCTCTGGAGGCTGTTTGAACCTCATGAAGTCTGAGGTGTCCCAGCAGGGCTGGGCTCTCCAGCCAGGGGCTGGGGCTGGGGGAACACAGTGCTGGCATTTGCCCCTCCTCAGTGCTCTTTAACGTGCTCCCTCTCTGTGTGTCTCAGCCAAATCCCTGTGCCTGACATCCCAGTTTTCTTCCTGGAGCATTGTGTGGTCGGTCTGAGCATCAAATACCTCAGCTGAGACATGAAAGAAAGGGAAGGCATCATCAAGACATTTCATCTCATTTGGGGATGATTTGTATAGCAGATAGCATTTGGGGCTTTTTGTTTCTGTTTCAAAACACTGCTGATGGCTTCTCTGTGTTGCAGACTCTTCCTACTGACACGGATCCTGTCAGTGAATTTAATAGATGAGCTCTTTCTTCTGAAGTGCTTTATTTTTGTACAAATATGATACACTGGGTGTAATTCAAGAATCAGTTCCTGAATCTAAACCAGCTATCAAATCCTGTCCTAATTCACAGAGTCAGTGATGGGCCTTGGAGGTGCCTGGTGCTATCAGGTGTCCTGCTGTCCCTGTCAGGGTGGGGTGGGCAGGGTCTGGGGGCAGCCAGGGCCCCTCTGGGAACAGGAGAGGGACATTTCCTTGGGGTGACAGACCCGTGAGCCAACACACGTGTCTGTGTCTCTGCCCAGATCAGAAGGTCTGGGGCTCATTGTAGGAAAGCAAAATCCTACAAATCAAGTACCCTGGTCTAACTGCAGCTGCAGTTGACTCTCTGCTATTTCTCGGGCATTTCTCATGTTTATGTTTACCTAATGAATATTGTATAATTTCTTAGGAGGTTTTTATCTGGGTGTTAATGCTGCTTTCATGTGGAATTAAAACCTGATAATACGAGGACATTAAAGGAGCCTAAGTCTTCATGTATTTTAATCAATGGACTTGATTTATTCAAAATTCTACATATCTTATCAGTAATTACATTTTGAACCCCTTATTTAGCAAAAGTTTTAGTAGTGCCAAACTTTGAAGTTGGATGCGATGATGAATGGAGAGCTGCACAGAGCTCTGTTTGGAATGTTAACAAGGCTCTTGGAATTATCTGACTTGGTGTCAGATCCCTGTGTTTAATGAGTTTAATGTGAGGGACATGTAAATGCATTGTGGCTTCAGAAATGGATCGGGGTCGCTGCAGGAAATGCAGTGTGAGACTAAATTTCCTGGGAGTGGCTGTTGTGTTTCAGAAGTATCAGGTAAATTAACAGGCTGAAATGGTGACGTTTTCTTGGTGATCATACTCTGGGGTATTTTTGTATCACTGAGTCCCTTTTCCTCATTAGATGATGGTGGAAGAGAAGTCTGTGATTTTTAATCTCAAAACTCAGTGTGCATTTATTGATATTAGATAGCAAGTGATCAAATGGATGATTGATCTAGGAACGAACTTCCAAAGGAGCACAAGGGAGTTTTGTAGCGCTCTTGGTGAATTTTGAGGAGTGGGGATACCTGTTCCTGTATCTGCTCTGAAAACCCCACTTTTTCCTGCCCCAGGAAGGTTTCAGTCCTAGGAAACAAAATACCCAACCATTATCCTGCAAATTGGAACGCTTTCATTTGTATTTATTTAACTCATTCATGGTTTTGTCACTTACGAGACATGTCTTTCAAAATACATGTGTAAGGCCCAATTTCAGCTTCAGAGCTGACAGCTTTCTCATAAATACGGCTCCCGGGGAACACGTGAGCCTCCTCAGTACCAATACATTTCCATGCAGCCCACATGCTTCCCAGGTGTCCTTGGCAAATCTCTGAGAGCAGACAGGACTGAAACCTCACAAATCTTCCCATCTGAAGGTACATTTGTGTGTCATTCCAGCACAGCACACTCGGTGGAGGAACAATCGCCAGTCCAGTCCCACGTCTGTTTTCCTCTCCCAGTGGGTGCTGGTGCCTCACACGCACATCCCTGTGGAGCAGAGATCCTCCCCAGGCAGGATGCAGGGGCTGTGTGCTCCTTCTGCCGTGCCCCTGATTTGGGTGGCAGCAGAAGTTCAGGGCTCCTTAAAAATGGTTTTAATTCCCCCAGTGTGCAGGCGCTGTGTCGTCACGCGCCGTGTTTTGGCGTCGGGGAAGGCTGGGTGAGAGGGGGAAGAGGAGCCGTAGAGAAGACAGCTTATGTTTAGACAAAAATATCATGTTAATCAGCACAGATGGGATGAGAAATACAGAAAAAGTACATGATAGTTTAATAGGTTTTTGGCAAAACGTGTTGGCTTTTTTTTTTCTCCTTTGACTGTACCTGTCTGTGGCTCCAGCTCTGCTGTAACAAAGACCTGAGTGGTTGTTTTATTGTACATATTTGAAGCCAACCATAATGAACCCAGTTTTTATCTCCCTACATCCTGGTCCCAAAGTCTCCCAAATACAATGCTTAATTTTCCTTCAGTTCTTTGTGTTTGGATGGCAAGCTGGGGAACATATTTTTGCACAGTATGAAGCATCTTGGCAGACTTCTCAGGCCAAGTATCTTGGATCTGTCAAAAGTGCTAATAGGCTTTGTTGAGCTTCTTTAAGTTTCTAAATCATATTTGCTTTTTGCTTTTCTGCACTTTTTTATTTAAGGATGATTAAGATTGCACTTGAATTCATGACTAATCTAATTTTGCTCTCACATGTGCTTTTTGTATAAGGCTGTCTTTATCATATAGCAACCCTTTCATGTCTGTAAGGAGCTATTTGGAAACAAGTTCCCTAATTCAGCATTTCTGGGTGTATTACCTTTTCCTCCACAACACCCCTTTTCTTTAATTTCTACGTTTTAAGAAGTGAAAATTCCCTCTCCACACACAAATCCTTTTTTCTTTACCTTGCCCTGGGGAGCCCCTCGTTCTAGGAGAGCAGAACACGCTGGGATCCAGTTGCCTCTGTGGTGGCTTTCTGGTTTTGATAGTGAAGATCTCAGGATCACATTGTGCTGTTTGTCAGGAGACATCTGCAGTGTTCAGTCCTGCCCCAGGAGCTGTGCCCTGCAGCACGAGCACAGGGTGAGGGGATGGTCTGGGCATGGGGTGACAAAGCAGGAGTGAAATTGTGGCACAACAGAAGAGTGAAATCCGTTTGCCTTTTGGTTTTTTGAGTTATTTTTGCTAAGGACCCTTGGTTTTGTGATCTGGTGAATCAAAAATTGTGTTCTCTCTTCCCAGAGGAACCTGACAGAGTACTTTGTGGCAGTGGATGTGAACAACATGCTGCACCTCTACGCCAGCATGCTGTACGAGCGCCGCATCCTCATCTGCTGCAGCAAGCTCAGCACTGTGAGTAAAATGCACGAGAGTTTCTTCTAGTCACAGTAGTTTTAATTTTTTTTTTTTTGCAGTCATGTATTGGAAATGATCTGATTATCTCCAGGTCCCCCTTTCAGTCTCACTTGTGCAACCTCAGCTCAGTTCTGTGCCTGTGTGTGAGGATTTTACAGCACTTCTCTTGGCCTCTGATGTTCAAATGAGAAAGGGTATTTTGGATAAAGGAATTTTTGGGGTTGTTTGGTACGTGAATGTACAAAGGCTTATGCCATAGTGAAGTCCTTTTTTCATAATTTACTTGACAGGAAAAAAACCCAGATAAATGACACCGTCAAATGAATGTCACAGTGACCTTCTCCGGGGGGACCAGGGGAGTGGGCTGGAGTGCACTGACAATGCACAGTTTTGCAGTTGTGTTTGATAAGGTTTAGTCTTAGTGCTACTTAGGCTCCATCAAGTGTCTGAGAGATGAAAGCTGCTGAATATTCTGGAGTACTCTCTTCTAAAAATGGCTGGAGATCAAAACGAGCACGGGCCTGCTCAGTTCAAAGTTTGGTGTTCTGCATTTCAAGGTTTAGCAGTCAATAAGATTGTGATTTTCCTTATAAAAGCAAATGCTCCATGGTCGTTGTGTTTGCTCTGTAAAAGGCTATTGATTGCTTTCCTTTGTGAGTGAGGAAGATGGTTTAACTAATTTTGCTTTCTAGTGCTGTGTACTGAGCACTTGAGTGGCCCTGGCTAAAACAGAGCTGCCATTTCCATCTGGTGTGGCATTAACCAGGCTCTGACTGTATGGCCATGACCTGCTTTGTGTCTGAGATCAAAACTGCTCCCTGGAGTTGTCAGTGCTCGAGGAGGCTGAAGTGGTGTCCATAAACCCACGTAGGGTGGTGTGTCAGCACAGGGCAGGGAAGTGAGAGAGTGAGGCCTCATACCCGATCCCAGAATAACTACTGCAGTGTCATTCTGAAGGGTAAGAGAAAGGAGGAGAATTAGAATAACCTCTGGGACCTATTAATAGTTGTTAATAATGTTTACAATCAACCCCATATTTAACTGAAAGCATTTAAGTGTTATGAAGTTTAATACTGTAGAAAACTTGCAAAATCTTAACTTCTATATCTACCAAGGGTTCTGTGTCATCGCTGCTAAAATAAGGAAAAATCCATCCAGGTAAAGGAATAAAATGAAGGAGAGGTGTTTATTTCAGCAACCTGCAGAATGAAAAGAACAGCAAATGATCAGAGAGGAGGGAAGAAGAGAAGGGCTGCCCAAAGCATTTCAGAGGTTGTGTGGTTGGTTGGTTTAATCTCTCCCTTTGTGACAGAGCCTGGGAAGAGGAATTACTTACCTGTCACTTTGCCTTCCTTAATGAGCCAGTTCACAAGTGGGGCTGGGTTTTTTTTCCCTATCTTTCTGCTATTTCTCTTCCTTTTGCCTCTGTCCAAGATAAAAGCGTGTCTGGTTCTGGGGAGGGAGGGGTGTTCATACTGTGTGTTCTTAGCTTACAACTTTATATCTGCAGTGCTCCAAGCCTGGAGTGACAGTGTAAGACAGGTTTGAAGGCTGGGCCGGAGCCAGCGATTCCCTGCTCGGCGGGTTCCAGCAGTAGGAACAAGCTGCATTATTTTATTTCAAACTGTGCTCAGCGGAAGCCAAGACCTTGTAACTGGAAAGGAACCAAACCCAGAATGCTCCGAGTGCAGCAGGGTGGGTGGGGCTGGGGGGGCTGCCTCCTTTGTCTGGAGTTCTCAGTTTTCCAGCGAGGGAGTGGAAGGGACCTGTTTGCAGCTCATTTGGTTTAACTTTGGGAGACACACTTGGTGCTTAGGGCTTAAATTTGGTATCAGGTAAGAGAGGGGGAGTTAAACCGTCCTGGGTGGAAAGGCTTTTATGGTGGGGTGCATTCTGTGCTACAGCACATCATCTCAAATTCAGATTTTGATTTTCAACATCCTTACATGCTTAAGTTGAATGAGATTTAGAAGGAGGCTGTGTTTATTAGCTGTTTTATAAATCATGTGTACTGAACCCATAGGGGAATTATTGGTGTTTTCTTGGATTTTTTTCTACAAAAGGAAATGCAAATAATTTCTCCAAATGTTAAAACAATTATTGCTGTTAAATTTCCTGACATATTCTGTGATCTAACTCCTCAAGAAAAGCCAGATATGAACCAAAATGCATGAACCCCCAGTGCTTGGCAGCAGCCCCCCTGCTGGTGGGAGCATGCTGCTGCAAAATGAGGCTGGAGCTCTCCTTGCATCCCGAATTCCCTTTTCCATCAGAACTGCAGCTCTGCCACCCCCAGGGGTGTCACTGGCTGGGAGTGGGGCAGCAGCAGATTGTGACCCACTGTAGGAAGGGAAGCTCTGAACAGACTTAGGCTTGGCCATTTCAGGGATGTTCCTGCCTGGCCCCAGCACCCTGAGGGGGTTTCTTTGCCCCATTCCCTGTTATTTCTGCAGTGTCAGTGCAAAGCGAAGGCTCCCATGGATGCTCTGTTGTTCCTGGGAGCTGAGCTTCCCCTGCCACTTCTCCCACATCACGGGAAACTCTGATACATCCTCCTACTCCCTGGTGGGGGGCTGAGGACCCTCAGGGCTCCAAGGGTAAGGAAATGGAACAACATGTGATGGGTTTGGTTCACCACATGTCCCTGGGATGCCCCAGAGCTCAGAGCTTGCCCAGCTCTGGTGCCCCAGCTCTGTTCCTGTCCCTGTGGGTCTGGACCTTCACACCCCCCCTTTGTGACAGCCCTGCTTTCACTGCTTGACTCTTCTGTAGCTCAGATTCCTACTTTGTTCTTAGCCCCAAATAATGCCAAAGAAGAAGCTCTTCCAGCCATGCAGAAGGTGGGTCTTTGCTCAGTGTTTGTGTTGCCCCTTGGGAGGCACATCCTGCCCTGTGTGTGCCAGGAGCAGGGACAGGCACCGGGAATGCCCGGGGGTGGTTCAGCATCAGTGGGTGACAAAATCCCATTGGTTTCATTTGCTCAGATAAGGCTTTCAGAGTATTAAATGTCAAACTGCAAGGAGTGCCCAGTGCCTGGGGTCTCCCTTCCACAGAGATCCCCTTTCCCCTCCAGCAGCAGCTGCTCTGAGCCCAGGCAGTGGAACTAATGTGATTCCAGTGCTGCATTCCCAGAGCTGGGGCAGTCGGGCGTTTCTCAGGCTGCCTCATTGGGAAGGCCCTGCTCCCTGGAAAGGCCCTGCTCCCTGGAAAGGCCCTGGAAAGGCCCTGCTCCCTGGATGGCAGTCCCTGACCAGGGGAGGTGTCCAGCAGGTTGTGAGCCCTCCCCAGGTCAGAGCTGCAGGGCAGTGGTCGGGTGTGACCTGAATTCCTGCCACGTCTCCAGAGGGGGTTCCAGGCTCTGCTCAGAGCTCTGCAGTGCTGAGCATTGTGGCTGGTGAAGGATTCAGGAATATAGATGGAAAACTACAGTAGGAAAGCATTCCCCTTTTTCCTGCTGCACATTGTGGAATTAGTCAGTGCCTTCCATCAGATCTGTGAGAGAGGAGCATCTTCTCCAGTAGGAATAATGTAAAGATAAGTTGAAATATAATGGGGTAGGGATAAATCTTGAGTGTTTCATGAGTCATAAATCCAGAATAAACTCTGGATTTTGTAGCTTCTAAATTTAGTGTCCCAACATCCTAATATTTGCATCCCATATGGATCACTAAATAACCTCAACCTGCAAATAAAGAGCTTGTTTTGAGAGACACTCAACAGGTACTTGCTGTGCCCTGTCTGCTCCCAGAGGCACAGTTTCCTTAGGATGGTGGTTCAAATCTAGTTTAAATTCTTGCATATTCTCACTTCTGGAAACTTGTTATCAGCACTGGAATGCTTTGGAGCTTTGTGGACTCTTTTGTTATGACACTTTCTTTTCAGAAATTTGTCTTTGGAGTGGAAAGTCAGGTGTGATAACATTCTCCCTTGAAGAAACTACAGCTCTTTGAGCTACATTTTTATGAAAAAACTTGAAACCTGTCACAATGAGGACTAGAACGAGTGAATGCATAAACAGAGGCTACTGGGGAAGAGTAAATATGATCTTTGCAGAAGAAATCCATGCTCAAATCTTGAAACTCTTTGAAAATGTAGATGAAATTGAAGAATGTTGAATTTTCCAAGTACTGAAGAAATTTTTGTGTGTATGCTCAGATCCTCTCCTTACAGTATTTTCTCCACAGCTTTTGCTGAATTTCCTTACTGAGCATTACCATTTTAATATCCTTAGTGAATGTGACAAATATCCTGCTTATCTTCTCTTCCAAATTAATAATTATCGTCTGAAATAGGGTTGAGAACAGTAATTTCCTCTGTGAGGATTCTCCCCATGGCTTCACTGGCACTTGCCTTTGCTCTTTCAGTACTTGCTCACATCAAAACTCTTCTGCATATTTTTAACAATATAAATGAGAAATTCAATGGATCAAATTATTAGATGAAGAGCCATTAGACAAAACCCCCTTTTAAATAATCGAGATTTAATCCCTGAGTTTGGTGTGATATGTGTTTTTCAGTTTGTGTTATAATTTCAGTGCATTTTTATGATATCTAATGGGTGGTAATTTCCAGGACTGGGGATTTGCCTCTACTGTTCCTTTAGCTCCCTTTGAGTTTTCATTTCCACGTTTCTGTTGCTTTCCAGAACGCTGGGTGTTCTTTGCAGGTTTGTTTGTTGGGTGAATCATGTTCTCAGCTGTTCACAGAGTCAGTTGGATGGGAACCACCACAAACCCATCGTGTTCCCCCCCGAGACCCTTGTTTTTAACAGCAGCTCTGCATTTCCTAGTGACACATGATGATATGAAAGCAGAATGGATTCTTGACTTTGTTTCTAACTTTGCTGTGTGAGCCTGTTTCTGATGCAGTTCTGGTGTGTTTTTCAGTTAACTGCCTGCATCCATGGCTCTGCAGCCATGCTCTACCCGATGTTCTGGCAGCACGTTTACATTCCTGTCCTGCCCCCACATCTGCTGGACTACTGCTGGTAAGGCCACCTTTGTGTCTGTGTGTTACAGATGTGTGTGTGCACCCCTGGGACTCACAGCAGTGCTCACCTTTCTGTGGGGTGTCCTAAGGGCTCTTATGATGCAACTGTTACTCTAAAAATACAGTGTATTAAGGAGGCACCAACCCAGTAAGTACAAATATTTATGGCAAGAAATGACTGTCTGTCAGTGTGTTGGAACAGTCTGATAGGAGGAGTGGTTGCTGTGGAATGCTGCAACTTAGATATTGTGTCATTAAACTCTGTTTTCAGCATGTCCATGTTAAATATTCCAGTGTGAATGAAGACTCCAACAGGACACATTTTTCTCATTTTCCCCCTTTCCTGAACTTCTGTTGGGGGTGGGAAAAAAACTATTTAAAAAAAAAAAACACTTAAAAAACCCCTGTTTTCCTGTGATGATCTTTCACTAGGAGTGTGTGATATTTACCTCATTGAGGGGAATGAGTGACCTTATCTCAGGCTTCCTCAAGGAGTTAAACCTCCTTCAGTGGCTTTGGCTTGGGAGACTGGTTACCCATCCACCTGGGAAAGGGGCTGAGCCCAGAGCCCTGGGAGGGCAGAAAGCAAACCCTGGGGCACTAGACCCCAGGAGGGGAAGCAACAAGTCCCTGGGCCCCACTGGGTGGGTTCTCTCCTGGCCAGGGAAGGAGGGAGCAGCCCCTGGGATCAATGTGAATCCAGGCTGTGGGGCAGGGTGTCACAAATACAGCAACTGATTGCCTTCCCCAGCGAGGAGCTTTAATTGGAGAGGTGGCTGCACACTCTGTCATTGTTTGAACAAGTCAATTTAGCAACAATTTATGTGCCATAAATATATTTCTCAAAATAGAGTCCATCTATTTTGTAACCATGTGAACTTGCAGATGTCATTTGTGCCTGGGAGGACTGAGCAATCAGCTCCCTGCTCTCTGCTTTAAGGCAATATTTCTGCTTACTGGTGTCTGCCTCTTCAGGGAAATGACCTGAGACACTTCAAAATAGAAGAGTTTAATTTGATTTTAATTGTTGCCTGGTTATTTCCTTTGCAAATATGACATAAGAATTTTAGAGACCTGAGGTGGGAACAAAATTTAAAGCAATGAGAATTCTTCAGTTGTTATGAATACAGAATATCATGTTGATTCAGTTGGCTGTGCCCTTTTACTGACTGTGCTGTGATGCCTTTGAATCTTCTCCTGCTCTTTTGAAACTCTCAGAAGGGTGGATAGACTGTGTCACTCGTGATCTTTGAAAGTTTTTGGAAAAAAAAGTGTATTCCACCTGTGATTATTTACCTCTTGCTTCCCATTTCCCTCTTGAAAGGATTTTCTTAAGCTTAATATTTCTGTTCCCCTGCACTGCTGCCTCATGTGCCCACCCTCAGCGCTGGAGGTGCCGGAAGGTTCCGTCTCCAAAACGCTCCCAAATCCCCCCGCTCTGTGCCGGGGCTGCTGAGTCAGTGCATCCATGGCTCTGGAATGACTTCACTCCTCTGATCCCTGCCATGCAGATTAGCTGAGGACAGGCTGTGGGAGGGGAAGCAAGAGGGGGAGTGCTGTCCTGAATTTTATTTTTTGATTAGGCACCATTCTTTGATATGTTTTCAGCCCGGGGATGATTCTGGGGGGAGGAGACTAGAAACTGGTGGTGACACTGTCCTTGGATTCCATTCCTGAATGCACAGTTGCTTGCTCCTTCAGCTGCAGAGCAGAGCAAACACCTGAGGCACAGCTGCAGTGCTGGTGCTTGGTTTGGGGTGGGTGGTTTGTGTTCAGAGCAGGTGCCACAAGTCCTGCTCAGTGAGGTGCTGCCACCGAGCATCAGTAGCCAGGCACATACAGCTGCTGAAATCTGGGGGATCTTGTCCATCTCTGTCGTTGGGAATTCAAACACTTCTCGATGTGACAGACACAGTCTGTGGATTGTCCTCCCTGCTTTGCCCAGTTTGTTTTTCCCGTGCCATGAACCCCTCCCACTGTGGCTGTTCTCCCTCTCTGCTCTGGGGGTCTGTGTTTAACATGAGCCTGTGAGAAAAGCCCATCTTTGCTGAGCTGTGGCACAGCTGAGTGTGTTCCCTGAGTCCCAGAGCTTTGTCACCAGAAGCAACAGTACATTTTGTAGGGGAATTAAACAGCTTTTCCTATCCCAGGCTCTCAGCACCAACGTTAATGTGTTCTGAGAGCACCCTGGCACAGCTGCTGAACAAACCCTTCTCTTGGGGCAGTTTGCCCTTTCTCCAGGAGTTCTTAACTCCCTTTCTCCTCTTTCCTGAATCTCCACACAGTCAATATGCTCCTCTAGGTAGGTGCAGGGGAGCTGGACAGTGAGTCCTCCCACTGCTGGGAGCAGAGGTTGCAGCCTGGGGGGCTCTGGGTGGCACTGCCACTGCCTGGCACACCCAGGCACTCCCTGGAGGCTCTGGGAGCTGCTCTCCTGCTCTGTGCCTGTGTGTTCTCTGCACCATTCCAATTTATGTAGTCAAGTTTCTGATTTGTATCAGTCACCCCAATAAATTCTGGATTGAATTCTGTTGCATTTCAGTGAGGGATCTCAGGAGAAGTCAGGAGACTGCCCTGGAGAGGGAGGTACCACTGGTGGGAGAGAGCCACCCCTTAGGTCAGTGTTTGAATATCCAGACATGGATTTAGTGAATGTGATCTCACCCATTTTCCTGGAACAGGGAAGCAAAATGGTGTAGTCCCTGTGTAGCTGTAAATAGGAACCTTTGGGAGATCCCTGGGCTTTTACGTTGCTGTTTCTGGTGAATTGCAGTATTTTTTAAGGCTGGGCTTTTTCACTTAAGAAGAAATGTCCCTCTATTTCACCTGCTTCTCTTCCAATTAGCAGTTGCCCACCTCGTGGGAGCATAATTAAGAGGTCTCTCATTTGCCTAAGGAAACGAATTAAAGAAATTGTAAAAATGCAACTGTAATAAATGGGCACTCTACAGCCATTGTGTCCCCAAAATCCATATTGGTGCTTGGGCAGTGCCACTTTACTGATTGGGTATTTACCTCTGTGACTCCTGTGACTGTAAATAAGTCTGATTGCCTTGGGAAGCAGGAGCAGGAACGACCCCTCTCTTTGTTCCAGGGGCTCTCGCAGGCACTTTGTTTGAGCAGCAGAGACGGGGCAGGAATTGATACTTCTGCCTTTGGCACTTAGAGGCTGTGGCTGCCAGCAAACAACCCGCAGTCATTAGAGCTGTGGCTGTGAGAAGGCCCAGGACTGATGAAGTGTCGGGCAGTGGGGAAGGCCTGGCCCGAAGGGCAGCCTTTAATCTGCCAGGGCTCCCTGAAGGATTAAAGCCTGTGCCGGGTGTTTCTCCCTTTGTACAAGGGATGTGTCTCACTGAACTTCCCCTGAAAGTCTTGGAAGTACCATCTAACCTGATAAAATATTCAAAGCTGCCTGAGTGTTCCGTGTCTCAGGACATGAATCTCAGTGAGGAAGAACTATTTCAGTGTGCCCTGAGCGGGGAAGGGGAACACACACCACGTTCCCCTGCACAGGATGGTGACAGAGGATTTAAATAATGACACATGATTAACTCACGGCAAAGAGAAATGGTGATAAAAGCAACTTATGAAACCTGACATGAACCTTCATCATTTACTTCCAGGTGTGTTTCCTTTTCAGTCAGATTGATGAGGGATGACAGAAGAATAGAATCTCCCTGGTAGATTTTATTGGAAATATTTATACTCTTTACTAGATTATATTTTATTGAGGTTATTTTTGCAGTCCCTGTAATTATTTTATGTGCTGTATTGCCTTTACATGTAATGTCTGTCACTCCACAATTTGCATCCAAAGCTGATACATGTATCTTGAGCCAGATCTTGCCTGTAATTCATTAAAATCTTACTGGAGGTGCCTGGTTTTAAGGTTTAGACGTTGTTATTGTTCTTTTGTTGATAAACTGGAGGGTTCACAAATGGGTGTGATGCAGTTAAAGCCCTTGCCCGGGTTCAGCTGTTGCTGTGCTGGGTGACAGACTCTGCCCGGCCCGTGTGCTGGAATCCTGCACTCCTCCTGCTTCCTCCCATTACAGCTGCCAAGCCTCCACTCGATGAGACATTTGCAGGCTTTAGACTTCCTGCCGAGGTTCCGACTCTGCGTTCTGGGGCTCGGAGCTGTCGAGTTGCTGGAGGTTCCTAATTGGAAGCACATTGGTGTCGGTGCGCGGGAGGACCCGCGGCAGCCGAGCCCACGGGGAGGTGGTGCAGCCAAACCCGGCCTTGTTCCCCGGGGATAAAATTCCTGGGAATTCTCTCGCTCCTGGACTGTGGCCACTGGAAATGAAGAGGTGGTGTTTGCCACAAACCAAACTGCAGAGTGACCAGCAGAGCTCTGCTCAGCTGAGCGCTCCGGGTGTCCCGGGGCAGTGTCCTGGGGTGTGGTGGGAATTCCTGTCCAAGGGCTTGGGTGGGTGCTGTGCTTCTCACCCGTGGAATTCCCAAGGAATCAGAAGGTTTGGGGTTAGCCTGTGCTGTACCAGCCCCTCTGGGCTCTGTCACAAGGGGCTGCAGGGCAGGGGGTTCTCGTGCAGCTCCTGCAGGGATGTGTTCCAGTGTTCCCCAGGGAACTGGGAAGGGGCTCTGGAAGTTACGCGGGTTTAACATCTTCAAACAGAAAAAAAAAGTGGTCTCATATAGAATGTCTAATGCAGAAGCTGCTTCCACCTCAGTGGAGCATCCAACAGAGTGGCAGTTTGAGGGGGTGTGTAAATAAACAACATAAATATTAATATGCTTATCAGTAAATATATATTTTTAAGGTATTTTTCAGGAAAAGGAGGAACAGGAATTTTGCTGCTCTGGTGTCTCAGGGGCTTTTTCAGCACTGTACTGCTCTTACTGAGCAGTAGGCACCAGCTCAGAGCAGCAATATGGGAGATATTTTAATCCAAGGCAGTACAGTGACATTTCTCTCATTTTTTCATCTGAAATGGAAAATGAGCTCGTTGAGCTGCTGCATCCAAAGCGAAGGGAGGCTCTATTTTAGAAGTTGTGTCTGTCTGTGTTGCTCTGTTTCGCAGGCAGGATGTGCCATATTTGCAATTAGCAGCTCTGGCACCTCCCTGATGGCTCCGTGTTGGAAGCTGGACCCAGAGCCCCAGTCCCTGGGCTGGCCCGGGCAGGGACACTGAGCACATCAACCTGCCTGAAACGTTCCATTCTGGTCCCCAACAGAAGCATCACCCTGTGCTGGGGGATGAACTGTGCCCTGAGAGCCTCTGGGGGTGTCCAGGTTTTGTGTTCTGAAGGGGATGTTGGTGTCAATGTATGTCCTGGGAACTCTGGAGTTTAGCAGAATCTTCAAAAGCAATTTTTGTGTTTTCTTTTATAAATGTAAACATGTCGAGATTTATACTTAAAAGTGAATTGCTTAAAAATGTGTCTGGACTCATTCAAAGAATTCAAAACTTGTAGTACCAGGTGATGCATATACACTAAATTAGCCACTTGACACTACAACAGGATGCATTTTTTGAAAGAATGCTCTTAGAAAACTCTGGGTATGTTTTTAAAATTGCAATAACACATTTTGTTTGTTTTATCTAACAGAAGACTCCACTGTTAGAGATATGTTTAGTAGCTGTCCTTAGGTACCTGCCTGAACTTAGACACTTGGAAATTCTGCTGTCAAGAAAAATTAAAGTCTCGCAGGCCTGAGAGGATATTGCATTGTAAAAACAGTCTTTCAGATCGGGAATAACATTTTGTTCACATGTGGTTTGTTTATGTATCTATGTATATGTTAATTTTTAAGCAAAATCTAGTCCAGTATCACAGTGTTTTCCTGTAGCTAGTTTTGTAAGTCTGATGTGTGATTCCAGTGTTGTGGGAATGTAAAGCTGTTTTTGTTTCCTCTCTGCAGTGCCCCCATGCCCTACCTCATTGGGATACACTTGAGTTTGATGGAGGTAAGTCTCTCTCACCGTTTCTGAACTGTATGTGGTGTAATGATTTAGAGCCAAATTCCACGAGCAATTATACATTCATTCATATGCTTAAAAATGAACTGGTGCTGTTAATCTGGGCGTGCTGAGGGAGTTGAGTTAAGCCCATGTGGGGATGGTGAACCTCCAGGAGCCCTGTGTGCTCCCCGTGCCCCTGGGCAGCCTCTGTGCGCCGGGACGAGCTCATGGTGTGTCCCCTCCCCATCCTGGGGCTCCTTTTAGTCCCTTCAGTGCCTTAGTTTGACTGAATCCCAAAGGCAGAGTCGATATTAAACCACAATGTTGACAGTTACAGTTCTCTTTTAGGCTTTTGCAGACAGATTGTAATTTTTTTAATGTTCGAAAGATCTGAAAAGAAGGAACTTGCTGTTAATGTTAACACAAAGCTGGCAGAGGACCAGCCCTCACAGAAAGCTTCTCCTATAAACAATTCCCAGTACTTCATGTGACTTTTTAAAAACTCTAAAAGTGGAAATAACACATTTGCTTTTGACTGGTGAAACAGTGGATGACTTTCCTCAGCAGTATCTGGGGGACAGCACAAACTGCTCCTTCAGGTCCCGGTGAAAACGCTCGTCCGTGTTGGCTGAGCCCCTGGCACGGGAAGCCTGAACAAGGAGGGTGTGCTCTGGGGGGGAAGAGGCAATTCCTGCCTCCCGGGGGCTCCTAAATTAGCAGGGGTGGACTGGTGGGAGCTGCACGTGCCCTTGGAAGTTATTTGACTTGTGTCCCTGTTTTAGAGCCCTGGAAATTCAGCCCTTGTGTTCAGGATACAGAACAGTTTAGAAAGCTGGGTTTACATCACGTAAGGGAACGTGAATTACTGGGATAATTGTTCTTGTATTGTGTCATTTCTCTGGAAATACTGATCAAATATTCTTGCACTGGGGCAGATGTGTGTAATAATGATGCTGTGGAACTTCCCCCTTTCCCAGCATTAACGTGAAGTAATTTTAGAAGTCAGTTTTTTCATGAGAAGATTGAATGTGCAGAATGTCTTTTTTCTTTTCCTTACCATCCTGGGCACAGATGATTTTTTTAATGCCCTTTATATTGCTAAATAAAGTACAGAATTGCAGTAGGACGTGGTAGTGAGTTACCAATTATTTTAAAGGCAACACATACATTTGTTTGCACATCATGTGCTTGTGTTCAGGGGGCTTCTGAGGATGCCCCTTGGATCCTGCACAGGCAAGAGCGAGGTGATATCTAGGAAGAAATGTGGTTTTCATGGTGATCAAGAACCTTCCTGCCCCGTGTCTGTGCCAGGCCATCACTGGTGTGGTTGTTCTGGTCCTGTGGAGGAAGGGGCAGCCCTGGCAGAGGGTGGGGTAACATCTCCACACAGGCACTGTCAGCTCTCACAGGTACCTGTGCTCACAACGAGCCTGTGCTTGGCCTGGGAATGGGTGCAGGAAAACAGTGAAGAATTCCACATGGAGTCGCTGTGTGTGATGTCTCACTCCTGCCTTGCTCCACAAACCCAGTGCCTCCTCCTTTGTCTCTGTGTTTCAGACTGCAGGGCTCTGTGGGCCTTCCAAACTCCATCTGTAAAAACTCAGAAAAAGGAGTTGTTCTTGGAGAAGCCAATTTTCATCCGTTTTAGTAACTTGTGAAAAAATCTGTTTAGTACTAAATCCAGTCTGGCTGCTGAATAGCCAGAGATTCTGGAACACAGACACGCTTTGGCAAAGTACAGTTATTCCAAGTGCCTTATCAAATAAATGAAATAAATAAACCAAACTGTTTGCTCTGCTCTTAGGGATAAATTGAATACAGATAGAACTGTATCCTGCAGTAACTCTGCTTGTTCCATTGGAAAATAACATCAAACCCCACAGTGGCTCTTGGATCTGGCTGCTGGCAAGAGCTGCAGAATTTCTGTGCCCTGGGCAAGGGAAGGGTGATGTTTGGCACATGAGCTGGACAGTTCCTGGGTTACCTCTCTGCCTGTTTCTGATGCTCAAGGCTCACTGTCTTTGTCCCTTCCTTCACATGTAGATATAAAATTCTGTGGTTTATTTGTTAGAATAACATCCTAGTAGCAACAGCAATTTTTTTTTCTCGTGATATAGCAGTTTTGTATTTTTAAAAATATATTACCTTTTCCGTATCAAAATAATTATATAAACTAGAACTACAAACTACTGCCATTATTCAGTATTCCTTTTTCTTTAAATGCTGAAATTTCAGGAAATAGGACTTTAAAAGTGTTCTGAGTAAATCCACGTGTTCCAGTGTCAGGATAAGGGGTTAATTCCCCAGCCTTCCACTCCAGCTGAGGCAGGTGGGCCCTGTACCTGTGCAGAGCCCACGGGGGTGACTCCAGGGTTGTCTGGGCTCAGGATCTGCCCAGCAGCTCCCACTGTGGGATTGTCCTCATGGTGTAAATGTTAGTGGCAGCCTGAGCTTGCCCAGGGAGAGCTGTGCTGTGAAGGGGAGAGGGGATTTGGGGTACAGGAAAAAATAATGTTCTACCTTCAGTGTTGTTTCTGTGGGTTTTGCTGTCCCAGTGTTGGAATGGGGCCTCTGGAAGAAGCAGAAATGTCAGTGATTTTAAAGAAAATACCCCCCTCTCAGCTCAGTGGGTTTTTCCCAACCTGTTTTGTCCCCTGAAGTTAGTTTGCAGTTTCCCCTGTTCCACGGGGGCTCTGTAGAAGGAACAGTTGTTTTAATGGAAAATGACAAATTTTTCTTATGATTAAAATATCAAGCATATCCATTGACTGTTAAATCTAATTTGCTGTGACTGAAATGTTCTCCAGTGAGATAAGATAATCTCCTGTTATAGGTCAGAGGGCTCCAACTGATTTATGGGGGAAAACCTTGGTAGAAAATACAGAGCTGTGTTTTGTGCTCTTATTTTTCAGCTTTTCTATCATCACCTAGTTAGTCATTCTTTATAAGATTTCCATTTAGCAATCCATAAAGTGACTTCAAAGAAGGCTAAAAGTTTATAAGCTGTTGGATAAGCAAGGCTGGAGCTATCACATGAATAATGGAACATGCTTACAGAACTAATTGAATTCATATTAGAGGAAGATAAGTACTTAGCAGTGATAAATAATGAGATAGGAAAATGAACCTCTATCAAAAGAACACACCCCTTCCATAATGTTAGTTTCTCTCTCTGTACTGTAGGTTATTTTAGTCTTCAAATTCTATTAAATTGACCTTTGTGTTGGAAATGGTGTCAAACCTCACTGCAGCCCGTTACGTTTTGTCAGAGTAAACGATGGTTTCAGCAACTGTTTGTGTAGGAAGGTTATTAGTGGGATGGTGCTGATGGAGGAGGAATGCCCTTGACCCCGGGGACTCCCTGCTGGAATTTGGGCACATGTGGTTTTGATTGACTGTTGGGGATGGTTGTGTTGGGCTGGGAGATGTGGAGCTCTGGCAGCCCAACTGTGCCAGGATCCAGCCATCCCTCTTCCTGCCCTGTGTGGGCCACAAACCCAACACTTACAGTTAAGGATTAGAAAAGGATTTCTCACCCTTTTTTTGTTAATACTCCAGCCATTCAAGGGCTTTCTCTGGGTCTCCAGAACTGCAACTCTTCCAAGGTTGTCCAGGATGAATGTGTGTGAAACTGCCCATTGCAGCTCAGAATGGTTTCCTGACCTTTTTCCTAAGCAAAGAGGACAGCTCTGTATATCATAAAAGCTGTATAAGCAGGGTTTGGTTTTAACCTGGTGTCAGGAAAGATGTTCCTGTTAGGAAAGACAGGTTCCCTAAAATTCCTGCAGTGTTCCACGTGGTGGGACAGGGTGGCTGATCTCACCTGGTGTTGATTCTCTCTCCCTTGTGCAGCCACGTGAGTGCAAAGCTGGGCCCTCTGAACCCCACACACTCATTTGGGAAGGGCTTTTTGGCAGTTTTCCCTGAGCTCTGGCTCAGGGAGGTGTGAGGATGCTCTGTTCGGGATCCAGTCAGAGCCCAATTAGTGTGTGTGAGGCTGAGCTAACGAGCCCTGAGCACGAGTTCTGTCAGTCTGGGCTCAGCCCTGGCCCTGCCACGGGGTCCCCCCTCCTCAGAGCACACCCTGAGAATTCACTGACCACTGGGATCTGCCACTGGTGGTGTTAATTGTTAATTATATTTTTTGATTGGGGTGAGAGGTAGTAATTAGCTTTTTCCACCCATTTATACTTAGTAAATCAATGCCTTTCTACCTGTGAGTAAAGAAGTGCAGCTTTTCCACAGGGTTTAAATGAAGGGGTTAGAGATACACTTAAATCCAGGCCTTAAAACCCCAAATGCAGTTTAGTCACTCACAAATACTACCAATATCACTGTACAAGGTTTCAGGAGCATTGATAAAAATGCATTTTAAAATATGGTAGATTGTTTATGGAGTTCTCCTTCATCCAGTTATTGGACGAGTGGAAATCCCAACTGTGTTTCAATCAGAGCTGCAGTGGGGGGTGCTGGAGGGGCAGTGCTGGGGAAGGCCAAGCCCTGCAGCTCCAGGCAGAAGGAAGGGTCCCTCTGTCCAGCCCTGGTGCCGTTTGTCACTCAGTTGGCAGCAGCTGCTGGTGATAAGGATCTGGGAATCACCTGTGCAGGCTCAGGGTGCCCGGGCGGAAGGTGGGAGATGGGCAGGGGGGTGGGAGCCCACCTGCTGTGCCCGGATCAAAGGGCCCCGGGGTCAGGGGGCACATCCCCTTACCCAGAGCTGTCTGCTGAATAGCCATTTCAGGTTGTAAATCTGAGCGGGGTTTCATTAAGTCCTTCTGGCTGCTGTTGGGGCATGAAATAATAAAATTTTATATCCGCTGCCTTTCCTGCTTCTGGCAGCCAGATTGACACTCTGTTGTCTGCAGCGTTGGGGTGTTTTCCGTAGGAAAAGAAATGGAAACTATTAACTGAGGACAGACAAGTCATTAAGCAAATGGATTTTAGACTTCTTGGGAATCGTACTTTTACAATAATTTCAAATCTAATGCACAAGCAAGCCAGAATGTTAGTTTTTTGTTAACAGCGTTGCCTTTCCAAAAGAATTGGTGGAAGGTGTGTTACCTCTTCACTGTTACAACATTCTTTAATGTGTTGATCACTTTTGTATCTGGTTATGAAGCCTCATGATCAGCTTGGTTTGTGTTTTGGCACCAATTTGGCCATGAAGTGACACAAACCTGGTTTTTGAGGGGAGGAGGGGGGTGGTGGTGTTTGGTTGTTGTGGGTTTTTTGGTTTTGTGTGTTGGTTTTTTTTTTAAATTGAACTATTCAATAAAATTGCTCACCTGAAAGAAGTTTAACTGGGGATTTTTTATGGTGGAAAATGCAAAACCTGCCAACTGTAGCCAGTGGTGATAAAATAACATTTAGTGCGAACTGGTGTTGGTATTATTGATGAATATTGCTTGTAGCACGTGATGGGGGTGAGGCAGAGGAGCACCCCTTAATACTGCTATTAGAATATAGTTTCTCTGGTTTTGTGAACTTTCACATAAAACACTTAAATGACTTCAAGTGTTTGGCTGCCTGGGAGCGGGACAGGCGCCCTGACTGCGCTTATTTACGGACCTGGTGTTTAAGGCCCCCTGGAGTTTGTTTGAAAAGTTAAGAGATTTTCACAGTAAAGGTGCCATTTCTGAAATTTAAAGTGCTCTTTTCACCAGGAGATAAGTTCTCTCTGATTAAGTCAGTAATTCTTACTAAGCCATGTTTATAGAGGCCATAAACAATGGGTTCAGCGTGCTTGTTAAACCAGCTTTCCATACCTCTCCACTCTTTTAAAAAGAGACATTTAAAATAAAAGGCAGGTGTAGATGTTAGTTTGATTTAGATGGATTTTAGATGATTAATTATGGCTACAAGTAATTGGGCAGGGATGGTTAAGAGAGGTTTGCAGGAGTGAGATGTGATGCACATTTTCACTGAATCTCTCCTTTTGACTCAGCACTGTAGGAAACTCTAATGGTCATGTTTCCTCTTGGTCTTTGCTTTTCCACATTTTTTTCAGCAAAATATGAACATGCTGGACACAGTCCAGTCTGTTGAACAGGTATCACTTTACTTGTAAAATTTTGTTTAGCTCTCCAGGAAGCTGTGGAATAAGGATGGGGGCCGTGTGTGGCTTGTGGCTGTCCCTTCGAATTTCCAGAAAATTGTGACAACACACAAACTGTACTTGTGAAAAATGATCTACATGTTGCTGTGATTCATGGAGTCCAGTGGGATTTAATGTGAGAAATGCAGCTGAATGATGGGAATTTTTACTCAGATTCCAGCCTGAGAGTACATGCTGTTATTTCCCCATCAGTTGGGCTGATGGGTGCCACGTTTGGTGAAAGAAGCGTGTGATTATTTGACAAAAGCCCTTACAACTGTCTGATAATACCTTTATCAAAGATGATAGTGAAAGGAGAGATGATAAAACCAGCTAAGGATTAAGGTGAACTGGTCAGTCTGCACCTCTCTGGGATGAGCCACAATTGTACCATCAAAAAATTGCTTGTTTTCAAATGCATTGCAAGACAGATGCTATTAATCAAGTTAGTCTCTGGTGTTTTATTAAATCTGAGGGTTTGTCTCGAGGGAAATCCACTGCCTTAGTACAAATACTGAGGAGTTTTAAAGCAGGGCTGAGCTCTCTGTGGTGCAGAGGTGCAGCAGAGCAGAGTTTAGGATCAGCCCCCTTTCAGTACAGTTATTTCTGGGCCCTGTGGGGGATGATCCAACGAGCAGCATTTCCAGTCCCTGCAGCAGGAGCTGCATCCCCTGAGCTGTGCTCCCTGGCTGATCCCCACGTGTCACAAGCCTGTTCTGTGCTCAGAAAGCCCCAAATTCAGCAGAAGGGAAGGTGCAGATTCGTCCCCAGAGTTACAAACCCCCCCTGGCACGTTCACCAGGCGTGTGCTGCTTCTTGGGCAGGAATCAGGAGGAGGTTTGAATTCCTCCTGTCTTGTCCTGCCAGCACTCGAGTTTGACAAGCTTCTGGCTTTGGTTAAGTACTTTGCAAGGCCTTTTTGTTGGAGGTTTTTAGACTCCTCTGAGTATAAGTGAGATTTTTAATTTTCTGAAGCAGGAAGGAGCAAATCAGTTTGTCTGGTGCTTCCGGACTCCTAGAAGGAGCAAGGCTCCTGGATTGCTTTAGAGTTTATCAGATGCAGCCAACGGAGTGACCTTTGGTTCCTGAAAGGCAAAGTGCCTGGTTTGTCCTGCAGTACTGCTGCCTTTTATATGGAAAGCATTAAATGTAATATTCTTCTGTTTAAGCTGAAGAAATGTCTCATGAAGACCTAAACTTAAATGTCTACAAAGTGGTTTTTATGGTGGTTGTTTTTTTTTAGCCCTAGGTACACAGCAGTTTGCTTTATAGACAGAGGACTGAGCCTTGAAAACTGAGGGTAATTATTTAGCTGCCTAAGGCTCAACTTTGCCATTGTTTTAGGACTTTAGTTCCTTTCTTTTAAGGGAAACAATTCCCCCCACCCCACAAAACCTTAATTAAAAATTGAGTATGTTTTTGTTCACTTTCCTCCTCAGTAACTTGCATTTGGTTGTGTGTGTAGGTATATAGGTACTTAAAAGTTTATTTACGGTGTCACTGGGAAATTGCCTCAATTACCATATTCTATAATTCCACTTTGTCTGATTTTGAATTTTCAAAGCTTTATTTGAAGAGACCTTAAACCTGTGGGCTCAGTCAGTCAAAAAAAAAGACCCAGTTCTCCTGTTAGTAGAAGAAGTGTTAAGTATTTAAATGCTGCTCTGTTTGGTGTCAGTGATTCATTTACTGTTGTTTAAGCAGGGAAATCAAGTCTGACAGTGTTTAAATTTGCTTAGATCACCGATACCTTTAGACACTTACAGGTATTAATGATCCTTCTTTTGAGAAGTAGGTTCTGCTTTTCTCTTCTGTGTCTACGGACTGTTACAGATGATGTTAACCCTCAAACTAGATTAGAGGCTTTTCTTTCCCTCAATTCATGGGAACAGGAGAAAAAGTTCAGACTTGCTGACCAGGATATGGTGGAATTAATTAACCTCTGGTGGTATCCATTTTACTGAAATGCAGTTGTAAACTTGTCTCTATTGGAGTTCCAAAATTCAACCTGGAATTTGGAAACCACTTCCCATCCCTGACTTACTACAGCTCTTAACTCCTAGAAAAGACATTCTTTATTGTTATTTAAATGAATTTATAAATATGAAAAGCTGTGCTTGAGATCCTGGTTCAGCTGGAGACTGCTAAATGTGCAAACAGGACACCAGAGTTAAGACAAACATTAGTAGAGGTGCTTGAAATCTTTGCTTGAATAACCCCAAACTCTCTGGTTTGAAACATTTCAGTGTGCATGATCTTAAGAACTCCCCTTTGCCAACTGAAGGTTAATTTTTCAGCATTGTAAAATGGTTAAATAAAACAAATGATGACAAAGTCAGGAATGTTGGTTGTTTTTAAAATGCTTGGAGCTCTGTAATGCCGTGATGTTCTGCCATCACTTGTGTCCTTTATGCATCAGATTTAACCAGCTCCTCATACTGACACTGTCCTTCCCTTTTCCTGGCTCTGCTCCCGTGTAGAAGGTCCGAAGCATGGCCCTGGAAGATGTGGTGATTCTGAACGTGGACACCAACACACTGGAAACACCTTTTGATGACCTGCAGAGCCTCCCCAATGACGTGGTACGTGTGGAGAGATGGATCCAAACTGCTGCTCCTCAGCTCTTCCCTCCAGGGAATGTCTGTTTGAACATTTGCAGACATGCTTTGAAGCCTCCTAATGAAAATTAGCCAGTGCTCACGGGAGCTAGAAATGCTATTATTGTTAGATAACTTTTGTTTCCAAATGAAATTGGGTGGGCTTGTTCCTGTGACTGCTTCCAGGTGAGCTTGGAAGAACTTCTTGCATTTCATATCCTGTGATATGATGTGAAATGGGTTGCTAGAATTCAGAACTTACTTTCTTTCTCGTTTGCCCTTTTTCTTGGTAAATTATTTGCTTTCTTTAATAACTTGATAGAAATGTTGCATAAATACTTGGTCTTTCCCTTTAATGGGACGTTTCCCTTTGATGGGACACAAAGCCATCCTGCTTGCTGCTGGAATCATCTCCACTCAAGAAGCTGAGGGGGAAGAGCAGAGAAGTGTGTGAGAGTGTAAGAAGCTGTTTTTAGGGCAGAGGGTGAATGTTTAGGAGAACGTGGCAGGGAAGATGTGGATTTCTTTTGCTCCATGGAAATATTGTGCTGACAGGGAGATCTGAACCTTTCTGTGTGCAGTTGGGAAAGAAAATTGGTGTGCAGGGAGCTCAGTCTAAGCTGGTGTGTCTGAGGAGCAGCTCCAGGGATGGTGAATGCCCAGTGCCTCCTGCAGTGACCCCCCAGCATTCCCCTGGGATCCACAGTGGGATCCATCCTGCAGGAACAGGGAGCCTGGGAGGAAGGCAAAGGGCCATCTTGATTGGGAGCAATTTGGCTTTAACCAAGCATTCAGTCTATAAAAGTTGCTTCCATGGATTTTTCTGGCTTTATATAGTTTTTCGTTTTGATTTCACTCCCAGCATCCAGATCTGCCAGCTGGTCACTGCTCGTGCCATTATCCACAACCCAGGAATGACAGACCTGTAAATTTCATGGAATTATGTAAGAAATGTCTGGATACAGTGAGCACAGGGCCTCAAACATGTATATGATTTGTCAACAATCAAGTATTATATTAGATTTTATGAGACTTCATTAAAGGAGCTGTTGTGGGCGCACTGTAGAACATCAGAAGAGACTCCTGCAATAAACACAGAACTTCAAGCTTTGGAATGTAATAAATTTTAAGAGACTTCCTTCCTTTCATTATTTACTTTTACTTCACTTTTATAACAGTAGAGAGTTGTGTTTTATTAGTTCAAATTTCTTGATTCAGTTTTCCACAGGTCTATTTAAAAGCTCCATTTTATCTGGGAGGATGTTTAGAGCAGAGCAGAGGAAGTGCTGCCAGCAAATTCAATTAACTGGCAGGGCTCACCAGTAGCGTACGTGGGGTAGTTTTTTTCACAAGTGCCATATAAATACAGCTGGGATTAATATTTTTCCCAACAAAGCTCTAACTCGAGTCGTGGTGCGCTGTGTAATTAATGTTTGGGATGAGGGTTTCTGTCGGCCCTGGCTCTCTGCATTGTTTCAGGTACCTGGATGGGGCAGTTTTCCCCTCCAGGTCTCTCCCTTCACACTGTTCCAGAGTTGGCTTTGACCACTAGAGAGCAGCTGCTCTGCTGTGCAAGAATTGAATTTCTGTCAGTTCTTTCATGCATCATGTGTTTGGAACTGTAAGTGGATCAAGTTGTTCATCTCAGCAGGGAGACTCTAAAGCCAATCCATTATACTTTTTTTTCCCCTTTCTTTTTTTTTTTTTCCCTTCCTGCTTCCCTGGGAGGATGGGGAGATTTTGGGAGTGTGTCTCCCCTCTGGTCTTGGTCTAGGTAGGTGCATTTATGACCTGAGAAACTAAAAATGTCTTCAGGAGTTTCCTGATCATAAATGCTTGTTATGTCAAACTACTATGTCAGCTTTGCTACTTAATGTGAGCAGTGAGCAATTCATGCACTGCTGAATAGACAAAATTTACTTTGCTAAATTAAATCTATCTATATTCAGCAGTGAGGAAAAACATCTTCTGTGTGATGCATTCACCATCAGGTAATTAATCCAGTGGAAAATTTCTAAAGCCGTTTCCCCCCCTCCTTGATCTGCTTTTTAAATCAAGTGAATGAAGTCCAGTGGTTCTTGTAGAGCTTCAGGTAGTGTGCTGTGCTTGAGTTTGGTGACAGTGGTGTTGCTACCTAAACTGTTGGTTCTTGGGAATCTAGAGTGAGCTATTCTTTAATTCCTAGGAGCCAAGCAAACATAGGCTACCCAAGGGTCTTTCCAGTTAGCATTTGTGTCAGAGGAGCTGCAGGGGCAGTTCCAGCAGAGTCAGATCAAGTTGTTTCTTTGCCCCACTTCCCTCAGCAGTACCTGTTGGCTGTCAGGCTTCCTGAACTGGCCAGGAAAATCAAGGTGTGTACTACTGTGTTACTGATTCACTGTCTGAAATGTGAAAAACTGTCCCTCCTTCACCTTCTGCTTCTGATGCATTGCTGAAAATCTGGCAGCACGAGAGCACCCCAGGAAGCAACTTTCCTTTTAAAATAGTCATTATTAAAAAAAAGAGATTTATTAAGGACTGTGATTACAATAAGTGCATCTGCTGCTGACAAGTCTCCTACACCACCGTCTGTGTTGCAACGAATAGCAGAGAGGGGGTAGTAATTTATTTCTTTTTTATGCAATTTTATGGATTTTTCATGTATTTCCAAATAAGTGTCATCTTCTAGTCGTGGTTGTAGCCAGAGCTCCACGTTCCAAGGGCTGAAGGGCGGGCTGGCTCTGTCAGTGTGCAGTTGTTGTGTGGAGCCGTGGGGCAGGGCAGGAACTGTGTGCCCAGGGCAGGCAGGGTGTGGGGACACTGCAGGGGCCTGGGGACATCAGTGCTGTGGCCGTGCAGCTCCTGCTGTCCATTCCCTCACCACCCACCACAGGGAGAAAGCTGCTGTTCCTGGCTCTCACTCAGGGGAATGAATGTCCTGCTTCCAGGACAGCCAGAAGTACCAAACCACAGCTCTGTAGCCAAAAGATCTTCCTAAAGGTGAATCCGTTTTTATTTCTTACGCTGTGTTTGCAGTAGAAGGTTTCTTGCTTTATTCATGTTGACAACTGAAAAGCCCTGGACCTAATTAAAAGAATTTCCACTAGCACCTTTACTGAACCATTTCATTCTGCTGCATTGCACAGATTGCATTCTGAAACATGGTGAGAGTTGAAATCGGACCTTTAAACCTCAACTGCCAGAAGTATAAAAATCTTCTTTAAAAACACTCTCAGGGTAGACTGCATGTATATGTGTCTGTTTGGCTAGAAATAATCCTCATTTTCAGTGGTCACAGTCTTTTAGGTTTTTTTAAGTACGACTGCCTGTTTTGGCAGGAAACAACCCTAATTCTGCTCATATCATCTTCTTTGAGTTATGTACTAATTTATTCCATAGAAAGTATGAGTTATTTTTTTTGTTACTTTTTAGTCTCTTTAAACATGCTGTTAACATTTTTTTTTGTTAAAAAACTATGGCATACCTATTGCAATCATCCTGCATATGTATAAAACAGACATGCTGCAGTGTTCAAGGAATTATCAAAATACCTGTCAATATTCTGCTTCTGTACCAACCAGGGGAGCTGAAGCACAGAAAGGCTGTGACCAGCCCTCTGAACTTCTGGTTTGTTTAAAATGAAACCTTTTCCTTCTATATAGATGGCAAGTTCTGTATCTTCACGTTAATATTTAAAGAAAACTCTTTATAACAACGTTTGAGGTGGATTTAAAAGTTACCTAGAGCTCTGGACATTTTATTGCACTTTTAAGAACTACCTTTAAATGGTTTTGCATAAGTTAATATAGGAAATAAATGGATATTTCATCCCTAAAAGTTCAGACCCGTTTGAACATGAAGTGTGCTGTTCAGGTTTGAAAATCTGGTGAAGCTTTTACATTTAGAGAATTACAGAGCTCCTTGAGGGACATTCTCTCAGTGAATAGGAGTGAGCTTATTTTATGGATATGAGACTAAATCTGGTATTGTGTGTTGTGTTAATGTGGGTTTGTGGGCTCACTAATGCACGGATCATTGGCATAAGCCACAGCACTCTGATTTATAAACAGTACTGGACACGCTCTAAGTTATTTCTGTTATACTAAATAACTGTAATGAAATGCTCCTACAGCAGGGTCTGCGGAATATTTAAAAGGAAATGTCTTTGCAACTGTTTTGGTAAACACGAGTGCAAAGATAACATCTGGTTCTGAGGGAAAAACAAGCAGAGCCCAGCGTGGATTCAGTGTCTCACACCAGCTGAGCGAGGTGAGGAGGCACCTCTGCCCTCCCCGGGTCCGGGACACGCAGGAGCAGCCGAGGGATGTGCTGAGGAGGGACGGGGCTGAAACCTCCTGGGAGGGGCTGCGGGGGCCATGAAGGACTCGGAGGGGGCCGTGAGGGACCATGAGGGGTTATGACAGGCTCTGAGGGGCTCTGAGGGGCTGTGAGAAGCCATGAAGGGCCATGAGGGGCTCTGAGGGGCTGTGAGGGGCTCTGAGGGGCCATGAGGGGCTCTGAGAGGCCATGAGGGGCTCCGAGGGGCCATGAGGGGCTCCGAGGGGCCATGACGGGCTCCGAGGGGCCATGACGGGCTCCGAGGGGCCCTGAGGGGCAGGCACAGCTCAGCCCTCGACAAACCGCTTCAAAACAATCTGAAAACAGGCAAAACACCCCCTGGTAGGGTGAGGAAGAGTGTGAGGGGGAAGGAGTGTCTGGGAGGAGCTGTTGGGACTGGGGTGGACAGAGGGGAGGCGGGAGCTGAGCTGGGGAGCTGAGCCGGGAACAGGCAGTCAAGGAAGGTGTCTGAGTTTCTGTCTTTGTTTCTCGCTATCTGACTGTATATTAATTGGCAATAAATTAAATTAATTTTTCTAATTCGAGCCTTTTCCTCGTGGGTCCGTATCTCCCTGTCTGAGCCCACAAGTGTGCTGTGCGTGTTGGCTCCACGAGTGCTGCTGAGGGGCGGTGGGAGAGCGGCTGGTGGGGGAACCCCCCCAGCCTCAAATACAGCTCTCACAGGTTAATTTTCCATTGAGTCTACAAGGGAATATAGCCTTAAAAAAACTTGGATTTGTGTCGAACAAATTTTTCAGACCTCCTGAATTTGATCTTAGCCTTGGTGGTGATGGATGGCCCAACTAAGCAGAGTGGTTCCTCTTATTAATCTGATGTTTGACTAATTTATCTATAATTCTTTCATGGATTCTAATCAAAAATGACACAGAACTTCATGGACTACCTTTAAAACAGTACTTAGCAGCATGGTAACAGCGGATTTTAAGTAGGAGGGAAGGTTCAATGAAGCTTTTATTGTCCTATTGGTTTCTGAATAGAATCCAATTGTATCTTGGAGAGGCAAAACAGCTTGAAAAGTAATGCTTTTAGAACTGAAAAATTCAACCCTGAATTCACAATGTCGCCTTTTGTCGTAGCTGCTGCTGTGGTTAGCACGTTTTTCATTTAGCTGTCCCCCAACGTGTTACGCTTTGTTTGTGATAGGAGAGTGATCTAGACCTGCTGTGTGATTTCAGGTTTCTGCACTGAAGAACAGATTGAAGAAAGTCTCTACAACCACTGGAGATGGTGTGGCAAGAGCGTTTCTAAAAGCACAAGCAGCTTTCTTTGGGAGCTACAGAAACGCCCTGAAAATTGAACCTGTAAGTAGGCAATTAGTAGGAATAAGATGTAAATCTGCAGCTGTGGTGGAGGAAAGAACCTAACAATTTGAAGTGTAGCATAACCTGCTTTTACTAAGGTCAGCATGGTGGCTCTTTGGCTGCCTGGTACTGAAAACAGTGTTCAAGTCTCCAAAATGAAAGAGCTGCAGCAAGCAGGATCCTTCACACGGGGAGAAACCTGCTTATGGAAAGGTATGGGTGTTGTTTGGTTTTGAATGCAGTTAAGTTAGAAGAGAGATGGTAAAAAAGTATAAATTGATCATGGGAGGCTGGTGCAAAGCTGACCTCTCCCTGCAAAACCCATCTCTTCATTGTGTTATTTTTAAAGGCAGTAAAAGAGAAAAGTTTTTACACAATGCATGTTTAACTGTGAAACGCGAATTTGTGGAATCATGGATTTTAAGAACATAATTGGTGAAGAAATTGTGTTTTTTACAGAAATATGAAGGATGTCTGGAGTTGTAACTGTTGACAGTAAATGTCTGTTAGGGAAATTCAATCTCTTGCTCCTGTTCAGAGCTGATCTCTGGGTAGTGCCATCGGAGTGGGGGAAGGACTTTTTTGTGCTTTATCTTGGTTTTTATTGCTTCTAGCGAGGCACCTGTCCCTGGGTTACTGCAGGTATCTTCATGGACTTCAGTGCAACCCAGTCCTGCCAAATTAATGTATTTCCACATGTTTTGTGACACTCTGGTTTTGGTACTGTGTGCTTAGGGGGGTCCTTCTAAAGTGTGTACATTTGCTGGTAGACAGGGAAAATAGTGTGAAGAACATCCATGTGTAACTCATGAGACATGTCCCAGAAATATGGAGGATGAAATGTCCTAATTGCAGAGTGATCCCCAGAATATTTCCAGAATATTCTATGTTCCTCTCTCTGAAGCAGGGGAAGCACACACATGTGCAAGTCCAATGCGCTGGTAAATCCCAATTCATGGCCCAGTTTGAACTGCTGTTGTTTAGACCTGTGGCTGCTTAACAAGATCTCTGTAGAGGACAAAATATCCTTTTGTCTTAATACCTCCTTTTCTCAGCCTCAAGCATTTGGAGGCCAAAAGCATAGTGTTTCTCGAGGATGTTTCACTTTCTGAAATGTCTTCAGTACTACAGTTTGTCTTACTTGTTATTTTTAAAGCCAGAAGGAGAAAATAGCTCAGCCTGAATTTTAAACAGCCCAGTTATCACCATCAAGCAAGCACCATTTCCACAATTCATATTCAGGGTTCAGAAATGACTCCTGAGGTCAGCGCGGGGGGAATCGGCGTGTGTGGAAAAAATAAATTGTCTTGACTCGTGTGTGTGTGTGTGTCTGGGTGTGAGAGCTGGGCTTTCAGCCAGCCTCAGGTGGAACCAGGGGAGGTGTTTGGAATGGGAGGTGTTTGGAATGAGGAGGTGTTTGGAACGGGCTGTGTGAGGCACCCTGGCCGTGCGCCGCCTTTATCCTGCCGGGATTCACCGGCTCCCTCCATCCTCACAGGCTTCCTTGTGCTCCCCTGCTCCTCCCTGCAGTTGCCAGGCAACTCTGGGAATATTGGTGTATGCTTTGCCTGGATGTGTGTGTGTGTGTGTGTGTGTGAGATTAACTAGTTAAGGGGTTTATGAAGGAAAATAAAAAATTTAAATTGCTGTTCTGGAAATGCCATCTGGTATTTTGAAAGGCTGAATGTTAAAGATGAACGTTTGAAATGAGTTGTCAGTGCACACCCCTAGAAAGTGCAACTTGGAGGGACAGCTAACCTGAGGAAGTGGAAGAAATGGTTTGGTTTGCTTATCATTCCATCCAAGAAAACCTGTAAACATAGCTGCACAAATATGTCATAAAATCCAATTTAGTAATCAGGAAGTGGAAATTTTCAGGGATTTCTTTCCAAAGTCCTTTTGTAAATCAAAAAATTTAGTTTCTGATTATACCTTCCGGTATTAGATTTAGATAAAGAAAATTTGCAAGTGTTTCACGTTCATGTGTCACCTTCACATGGGGTAAATATGGGGCATAAGCAATACCAAACATGATGTGGTTCTTTGCATTTCATTGCCTGTAACTCAAGGAATCTGACCGTTCATTTAATATCATTGATAATTAGGAAATAAATTCAAAGAAGCAGCAGCTTTTCTTCCTTTCATAAGACAGTTTAATTTCATAGGCCATCTCACTGGTGTGAGCTGACTTTTTGGCAAAAATGGTGTGAATTGATTTTTCATTATTCGGTGTAGGTCCAGAATGTGTCACAGAGCAGACTTTAATTTCACATTGTTATACTTGAGCATAGTCAGAACTCTTGTTCTGGTCCGAGGCTTTTTTTCCAGAGGTAGAAGGTTGTGTAATGGACATAAACACCAGAACACTGACAAGAAGTTTCTGTTGCCATCAACTTTCTGAGGCCTTTCGGTAACTAGAAATTGCGTGGAAAAACATATCTAGGTAATGCAATTTGCAAGTCTAATAATAAGATTTACTTGACAAAATCCAGTGCTGTTCCCTACTGTGTTTCCTGTAGTTACATTAAACTGGATGCTGAGTACAGCAGAGCACGTGTTAGGTGTGCTGTAAGTACAGTCACCACACACCTCTGTTGCTGTAAAGTACAGCCAAACACGGCAGCAGTGGGGTGTTTTCTGGGCTGTATTGAGGCAGATGATCTTCCTGGGTATGACTTAAATTTCCAAATTCCCGTTTTCTTGCTGTTTTTGTCATCGTCTCAACCCCGAATTCCCGCAGCAGGTCACCTCCCCGAGCTGGCTGTGTGAGGGTGTTTGCAGCCCTGAGCCGGTGGGGGATGTTGGGAAGCCAGGCTCAGCTTTTGGGCTCCGAGCTGTGGCCGTGCACTTTCTTCTGCTGACACCTAGTGGTTCCACACATTCCATTCGGGTTCTTTCCAGGGTTTGTGAGGGAACAACCCCTCACACCTGTGAGTAAAGGTGAGCTCCGGGTGGGACTGACCCAGAGCAGGGGGTGTGGGGTGTGGGTGGGTGGTGCTGGTGCAGCCTCAGTCCTTAGGTGCATCCTCTTCAGAGAAAACAGAAACTCTCAGGGGCAGAGGCAATGTCCTTTTCCACTTGCACCCTTGTCCTGTGCCTCCATGGCTGAATTACTTGCTGATTTGTGAAGGGCTGATCTTGGTATGAAGGTACTTATTGAACCTCACAGATGTATTGTGGACTGCAGTTCTCCCACTGCTGTGGCTGAGCTACACGGCTCAGGAATGTGTGTCTTTATGCTGCTGTACTTCTGTTGTCCTGTCAAAGCCTGATAATTTATCTTTGGATTTTAAATAGAGAGGACAATGTCCTACCAATCATCATAATTGTAACTTTGATATGAATTTACTCTGAATATGATGCAATTTGAGCAATGGTGGGGGAAGAAGCCATTACAAATAAGAGGAAATAATTCTTCTTTTTCAATATAACATTCAATTCAACCTAAGGAAATAATTAATGCATTAATTATTTTATATCAATCTCTTGAATGGAACAAAATAAAGTCCTTCAGCAATTCCAGATCCATGAGATCGGAGTGGGACAGAAGTCAGAAAAGTAGATGGTATTTGGTGCAGTGAAAAAGCAAATGCCAGATGAGTCTAAAAGGACATTTTGTTGGAATATGTGTGCAGTAACATAAAGAAAGTGCATGCTACACACTGGTGCATAATTCATTTTGCAAAGGCTTTGTAGCATTCAGTGCTTTATCTACTATGAAGTATGATTGTTGCCATGGTGAATTATTTTTTTAAGTTATTCAGTGGAAGAGTAAATAGTTGTTTCCAACTCCCAGTAATTGCCACATCCCAGCCCCTTCCTCTCCATAACCATCTTCTGCATAGCTTTTTTGTCCCTGCATGTATATTTTAAAGGCATACACTGTAGATTCTTCCCTGTCACCAGAGCTGTGTCAATAGGTCAGAGCTTCAGGAGTGTTTGTCCACCTATAGCAAATATGAGGAAGGTGATCCCTAATGCTTAAATGACTTGTGCACAGACCTGTTAAAATTAACCCCGAGCTCTTGGGGAAACAGTGAGCAGAAGCTTATTAAATGGAACTTCTTGTTTTGCTTGCAGTTTTGTTGTGTTCCTTTTAAAGTCAGTGCTGATGTAGAGCAATAGGAATTTTCTCCCATCCATCTTTCCTATTTCCCTGTTCAGGTGGTGTGAGCTCTCAAATCCATGAGACAGTCTAGGAGTGCTAAATGACAGTCATTTCTAAGTCTCATCCTGATGACTTTACTAACAGATTGGAGTAGACAATGAGAGTGGCACTGACAGTGTGTAAAACCTGATGTTTCTGTGATAAAAATGGAGATAAAATGAATTTCTGTATATTCTGGAACTGAAACGTGAGGCTTTTTTTCTACTCTGACGATTCTGTGTTTTGTGACATTTTGAAGACCCAAGTTTTTGACAACCTCCCTTAGAAGCCACCTGTAACTATTGTTATGTTTTCCCATCTATGGGAAGTGCTCTAGAAGCCATACTAACCCGAATTCTCAGTCACTGGCTGGAAAAGATTTAGTGGGGAAAGACAGTTTTGTTTGTTTTCTGTGTGGTGTTTGTTTTCATTTCAATCCTCTTGCTGTTTCCTCTCTAAGCCTTATTGTTGCTATAGACAAGTTTCTGCTTTTGCTGTTTTAAACCTTAAAAATGCTCTTTTTCTAACAAGCATTTACTGTTCTTCAAAATGCATTTATTATTCTACATCTAAGTCTGTTGAGATATACATATGTTAATGAAACTGAAAAGACACTCTCTTTAATCTCTTCGAGCAGTCTGGTATGTAGTAAATAGAATTGTTTTGTAATTTCCAAACTGTTATAAGATCCTGTGTTATCTAATTCCGTGTGCCACGCTGAGGGGAGGGGGGAACCCAAGGTTCTGAAGGAAAGGTAATGAAAATATTTGAGAAAGTAAACGTGACCCTCTGCTGAATGGGGCGTTTCTGCCATGAAAGGTGCAGTCAAACTTCCCTGGCCATCATACATATT